CCCCAAAACCCCAAAACCCCAAAACCCCAAAACCCCAAAACCCCTGGGAAACACAAATAGCTGAATACAGGAAGTCAATAATAATATAATGACAAGTTGCATAAGCGACCAAGAAGAGTTCATCGTTTATTCCTCTGATGGAGAATATCCGATTGTCTACCTTGCTAAAGAATGCGAAGATGAATCCTCCAGCGACTCCTCGACTCGCCCAAAAGAGTCATTAAATTCAGATCTTGAGGATGTCGTTAAGCCAATAAACTTCCAAGGATGAGAAATTTCTGATGAAGTTAGCGCTGAAAAATACCTGGAAAGATTTGTTTTAGATAATAATGAAGTTATAAATGATTTCTCAAGTTACCTTGAAGCCCTCCGTCCCTTCAGTTCAGAAAATCGTCAAGGCTCTAGGATAAGTCTGCCTGAAGAAGAAGAAAGAAACCTCTATGAGACCGTTAAAAATCTCGTATCTGAGCTCAATGAGGCGGACTTGTTGCAGATCATGCTACCTCAAGTGGAAGAAGAGGACAAACAAGATGGCTTGGAGAAGCTGAAGACTCAAGGATCCTCCACACAGTCTAAGCATCTTTTTAGGAAGGACAATGTCAGAAAGGCTACCATTAGAGCGCTTAATTAAAGTCGCCAAGACTCACCTTGACCAATACTTGGAAAGATATTATGTCAGAACTGGGAAGGATCTGAAGAGGTACTTCCTCCAATATAAAGAAGAGGGCTTTGACTGCGTTAAGACTTGCATGGAAGAGGTCCTAGGATACAGCCTCCCAGACATTGATACTAAAGAAGTTTATGCCATCTTCTTCGATCTCTGCTTAAGAAAGAAGAATGCTATTAAAGCGATGGTTACCTTCTCTAGCAAATCTGAGAGGAAGCAAATTTCTGAAGCTCTTAAACGATATAAAAAGCAAGGAAAATCTTACACGAAGGAGGATGGAGAGTATTCTCCATCAGAGGAATAAACGATGAACTCTTCTTGGTCGCTTATGCAACTTGTCATTATATTATTATTGACTTCCTGTATTCAGCTATTTGTGTTTCCCAGGGGTTTTGGGGTTTTGGGGTTTTGGGGTTTTGGGGTTTTGGGG